AAAAATCGAAATAATAAAAGAAACTTTAAAAAAATCCAGATTATGAGAAAAAAACAGAAAACAGTGAAGACTCGTCTGAGAAAGGTAATAGGCACAATAGTGACACTTGAGGGGGACAACAGAATGTATATAAAGACCAAAGTAAACAATGAAGAAATAGTAGCACTGTTAGATTCCGGAGCAATGGCCAACTGCATAGGTAAAGGAGCTTTAGAATTTTTACAGAAGCAACCCAGTAAATTAATAAAAGTAAAAGGTAAATCCATTAGAACAGCCAATGACAACGAAACACCGATAGTGGGCGTAGTGACGCTACCAGTGTTATGGGACGAGGAGACGAAGGACATGGATTTCTTGGTAGTACCGACCCTGCAACAACCTTTTTACTTTAGTATCGATTTCTGGAAGATTTTTGATATGCCAATAATAAGTGAGCGAAAGCCTAAGAATTACTCACCAGCGGTGATAGCGGAACTGACACCTCATTCATCGGATCTGCAGGTCACATACAAGTAGCACGAGATGAGTGAAAAGCAACGTCGCGTATTAGATAAGGTTGTGAGAGAATTTCCATCATTTAGTGAATTAGGGCTACGCAGGACAATCATAGAAACGCATATAATAGAAGTAGTAGACGAACACATACCGGTTAAGCAGAGACACTATCCCATATCTCCTGTAATTCAAAAGTTAATGTATGAGGAACTAGATAGAATGTTGAGTCTAGGTGTCATAGAAGAAAGTAATAGCAGCTAGAGTTCGCCGGTGACATTAGTAAGAAAAGAAAATAAGAATAGGTTGTGTCTGGATGCGCGTAAAGTCAACGAGCGTACGATCAAGGACACATATCCCTTACCACACATTGAAGGAATCCTAAGCCGGTTACAAGATACTAGGTATATCTCTGCAATTGATCTTAAGGATGCGTTTTGGCAAATTCCATTAGACAAGAAATCGCGCGAGAAAACAGCATTCACCGTACCAGGGAGACCATTATACCAGTTCTCAGTGATGCCTTTTGGACTATGCAACGCTGCACAACGAATGTGTCGATTGATGGACAAAGTTATCCCAGCATCACTTCGGGAAAGTTTTTGTCTATCTGGACGACTTGCTGGTGTGTTCGGAGGACTTTGACAGACATATGACATTACTGAAGCAAGTGGCTGAATGTCTAAGCAGAGCAAATCTAACGATAAATGTGCAAAAAAGCAAATTCTGAAGTCAAGTACTTGGGATACATAGTAGTGCTGTTCATATTCGAATTTACGAAGTATTCGAAGAAATTCGAATATTCGAATGGTAAACGAAGTCTTCGAAGTTGAAAAAAACTTCGAAGTTTTTGTGAATTTTTGTTCTCGAAGTCTTCGAAGTTTAAATGTAGTGAAAAACTTCGAAGACTTCGAAGACTTCGTAAGCAAAAGGTGAAGTGAGAGCGCACAATGCAAACAAACGTGCATCACACAAATTATTTGAGGGATGAAAGCGTTTGCTTTGTTTGTACGGTTTTATGTTTTTTGTTGTTATTCTATGCAGAAAATTAAAAACATGTTTTTTTGTTTTATTTTATTACATAAAATTTATTTTTGTTTTTATTATTAAAATATGTAATTATAATATAATTATTATTATTAAATATGTTATTATTAAATATTATTTATATTAAATAAAAAATTTACATTTTAAATAACTTATATTTATTATTTATATTTAAAAAATCATATTTGAGAAAATTTTTAATATAATATAAAATATATACGTAATAATATGAAAATATTGATATTGATGGATTTTATTAGTAATGGAATTTTATAAAAATTTTCATTTTCCTTTAAAAAGAAAATCACAAATTAAAACCTTGAAAATTAGTTATGGAAAAATGAGTTTCGCTCATTAATGCCTAATTATTTGACCTGTATGAGCTGTGATGATCACGCAGGTAAGCGCAAATTTATTTTTGCATTATAAAATTTTGAATGTTTTGTTGTAGTTACAGTTATTTTACTGTTTATGGAAAATTTTTAAATCCCTTATTCTAGGAAAAGAAATACATAATATTATAAGGAAGTATCTAAATAAAATGTAAATTAGTGTATAAGCAAAATTGTATAAAAGAAATTCCATCAAATTTTCATATATTTTATATTATATTAAAAATTTTCATAAATATAATTTTTTAAATATAAATAATAAATATAAGTTATTTAAAATGTGAATTTTTTATTTAATATAAAAAATATTTAATAATAACATATTTAAAAATAATATATATTACAATACATATTTAATAATAAAATAATAAAATAAATTTTATGTAATAAAATAAAACAAAAAACATGTTTTTAATTTTCTGCATAGAATAACAACAAAAAACATAAAACCGTACAAACAAAGCAAACGCTTTCATCCCTCAAATAATTTGTGTGATGCACGTTTGTTTGCATTGTGCGCTCTCACTTCACCTTTTGCTTACGAAGTCTTCGAAGTTTTTCACTACATTTAAACTTCGAAGACTTCGAGAACAAAAATTCACAAAAACTTCGAAGTTTTTTCCAACTTCGAAGACTTCGTTGAAATGCGAATATTCGAATATTCGAAGAACTTCGAATTTTTAAAAACTTCGAATAATGTGAACAGCACTAATACATAGTAGGGAATGGTAATCTGAGTACAGACCCTGCAAAGATAGAAGCAATGAAAATGTTCCCAGAGCCAAAGACTGCGAAACAACTTCGGCGTTTCCTGGGAATGACAGGTTGGTATAGGAGATTTATCCGAGAATATGCTACGATAGCAGCACCTTTGCATAACTGCCTCACGAAAACTAACTTGAAACAATTCGCATTAACCGATGAAGCAAGAGCCGCCTTCGAGAAGCTGAAAGAAAGTCTGACAACAGCTCCAGTGCTAACCAACCCGAACTTTGAACAACGATTCTATATCCAATGCGACGCATCGAAAGATGGAGTGGGTGGAGTACTATTCCAACTCAATGAAGATGGAAATGAGCAATCAATAGCGTACATGTCCTCGAAGCTCAATAAGGCACAAAAGAACTATAGTGTTACAGAGCTAGAATGTTACGCCGCGGTACTCAGTGTGAAGAAATTCCGGGCTTATGTTGAAGGACTACCATTTACCATCATAACAGATCACGCAAGTCTGAAATGGCTCATGAACCAGAAGGAGTTATCAGGTAGATTAGCTAGATGGAGCTTAAAGCTACAAGCCTTTAATTTCCAGATTGAACACGGAAGGGATGCACAAAACATAGTTCCAGATGCACTCTCGCGTATGTTTATGGAAGAAGTAAGCATTGTAGCGCGAGATCTGGATGTCGATTTACAAACAACCGCGTTCAAAACTGAAGAGTACCGGAA